ATGTGCATATATGTATCTAACTGTCTATATAGTCGAGCAGGGCAGATAAATGCTATTAATAGTTTAAGGCTTAAGTATATATAGTCTCATTACCTTGCAACTCGGGTGGGCCCAACTTGAGCCCATGAAGCCAAAAGAGAAAAGTATGTATGTGCATGGATATATGTCTTTCATCTTATCCATCTCATGACCATTATTGCAAGTTTCCCCGTAAAGTTGTTTTAACTGGAAGTGCTTCATTTTCATCTATGTTTTGAATCTGTTCCTCACAGAGTGCATCTCACACCAATCTCACGGCATGTCTTGACTGCATATTGGGAATATCTTTTGTACTTATATTCGTTTTTCATAAAGAGATGTTTCAATACATGATATGATAGGAAGTGACTATGAAATTGGTGTGAGGAGCATATTCCCAATTCCTGTGGGCAGATGGACAATTCCACTGAAACGCCAAGCCATCTTTACTTGGTTTTTTTCCATTTGTTTCGTTTGAGGTAAATGGCCAGATGGCATCGAATTCTTATTTGAGCTTGCAACCGCGCTCTTGCAAATGGAGCTTTGAGTGATTGCGAGACATACATTATTTATCGCTGGCGTAGGGGGTAGGGCATTATTATTGATTCCACAATCCACACCCCGTAATACAACCATTAAATTCAGCTGATCTAATAATGATGCTACATCAGCATTTGTGCTTCAATGGTTGAAAATACATTTGGCAATGCCCATTTGTGGATAAAATTATGACACAATATCAATGTTGTGCAAATTGTGCAAGGAGGCTAGGCATGTGAGAATGCGAATTTGACGTTGCTCCAAGCAGGGAACTAAAGCAACAACAATAATAACAAGCTGATGTGACTGCTTACATGTCATCTGACCCGGTAGAGACAGAATTGGTGTTAGTACATTATACATACAAGGGAACGGGATCTGCTTCTTATACAGCGCTCCTCACACCGATCTTACAGGCACATCTTATCATACATCGAGAATATCTCTCATATTTGTTATTATTCATCCAAGATCGAAGATGTTCCAAGTGGAATGTGCCTGTGAGTTCGGTACGAGGTGAACAGATCATAATTCCGTACATGCAGCCCCACTCCAGTAGCTAAGGTATACATCTAACGCAACGGCGATGCCGATGCCCTACCATTTTTAGTTTTTTGACTTTGTAGTTGAGCCCCTACTGGGGTTGCTGTCTTTCCTCGCGATGGTCGCTGTCGGATTCTACAGCTACAGCTCATCGATCGTCTACCACTTGTCATCGGAGGTGGGGACTGGGGAGTCGCCAGCTTTCTTCTTACATTCTTGTATTGGTCGCTTAGACGCAATAGGTTTGCTCTATTGAATAAGGTGGCAATTGACACTGCTGGCTCAGTTGATAAGGTCTCGAGTTGGTTGTAGCAGATTTGCGATTGATCGCTGCCTTCAATCGGGTTGGTGGGGGACTACCCCTCTTGTATGGAACTGTACAAGTCCAAAAGAAACTATTGTGATGTCTGATGTCTCTTACCTGTGAGGACATAGGTAACCTCCGTGAACGTCACCTTTGGGAATTAATGAATATGCATTTGTCTTTTGGGATGAATCCATCCCAATGCAGTTCTCATAGAAATGCTTCTCTTCTCTCCAAATTCTTCACCACTCAAGCTTTCTTATGGTATTTCTAGGTTGTCCACTGCAACTCAGGCATCAAATACTGCCTTTTACGAGCAAACAGACTGCTCAAAAGGAGTGGATGTGTTGATTATTTTGTTGCGGATGGTTATACCAAATCTGTTGACAACTTAAGCTGTGTTTGTTCGTATCTAAGATGGTACATGGAGAGCAGTCTTTACTCCTTACCATAAAAGATGCGGCAAGAGATTGACCAGCATGAAGGACCCATTCCTTCTCAAAGGTTGTGAGTTGTGACATGCATACCAAGGAGATGAAAGACAATTGGATGCCACTATGAAGTTTGAACTAGGAAATTGCAGAATTAACATACTTCAAAACAGAAATATGATTAAATCCAAATGAAAAAAAGAAATAGAAAACCACATTTTCATTGACATTTAGGTTGAGTTTGTTTACATATGCTTCAGGATTTGTGTTTTCCCAAAGCCCAAAAGCATAAAACTCTAATTTCATACTTTGTATCTTAGAGTGATTTGGTTTTAGTAGGGCTGGATCGGATTGGATTCGATTAAGGGTATATCCGATCTGATTCGATAAAAAATACAATCAATCTAAATATGTTGGATTTCCAAGATTTGATTTGAATTTCAAAATCTTATCAAATACCAAATTCAATTTGGATTGTCTCATGTTGGATCAAATCAGGATATATTTGAATTCGATCTATTAACTAATTGGATCAATTTTTTTTTTTATTCAGATCGAATTGGATTGAATTTGATCCGATTTATTTGTAACCTAGATTTTAGATTATTATGTTTTTAAAAACAACTCTTACCAAGCGCTTAAAACACTTTTTGGTTTGTATTTGTTTATTACAACTGATAGCTCAAAGACAAATAAATGTCTGTCCAAATGGATTCTTAACTAAATTTAAACAAGACCATAGGGAAATAGATCAACACCCAAACCTTTTAGTTAACTATTTTTTTTTGGTAAATTAGACTATGTTTGGTTTGAAAGAAAAGGTAAGGAAAAGATAGGGAAACCTTTACAAGCATAGTTTAAAGTTTTGTATAGGTTTTTCTGTCTTTCCCTTCCTTTCCCCACCTTTTTCTTCAAACCAAACATAGCTTAAAGTTTTGTAGAAAAATATGTTTTTAAATCAATTTTAGAGAATAAAAGGTATAAAATTATCAAGATTAGTCATTTGATTCAATATTTAAAAGTGGTTTTAACTTTAAACTGATTGCTTTCGAGTACAAGTTTATGGCTCACATGCTTAGGCTCCGTTTGGGAAGGCATATGCGTTTCGGAGGAACTGCTAGTCTGCTACAAAGAAGTCGCTTAGGTTGAGCTGGCATACTTCAAGGTCCCATTCATTTACCGGTATTTAGTGGGGGCAAGTTGGTCAACTAGTAAATTGATCATGGCCCAGCCCAGGCCGCAAATTTCTGGGCTAGGGCCCAGATTTTTGTGTACAGCCATGCCCGGGCCTGCATCAAGTCCAGAAAAATATAGGATTGGGCTTAGGTCTAATACTTCAAGGCTGGCATAGGCCTAACCTGGCCTGTAATTCTGCTTAGTTAATTGACTAACTTTCAATCATCGATTTTAATAAAAATTAAAAGAACAGATTTCTTAAATTACCCTTATGATTTAGTTAATTGACTAACTCTACCGTTATGTGCTCGACAAAAATCCCATTGGGAACGTTTGCCACTAAAACATGTCATTAAAATCATGCTCCTTATGTCATTGTGTATGCAAGGTACATATGAAATTCCAGAAAACCAGATTTCAGTTTCAAGAGTAACTACGTTGTTTCATTTCACAAGAATCTATTTTTGGGACTTCAAGATGGGTTACTGCATCCTGTGTTGGCAGTGCACTTCAAAAAAAAAATCCTATGTTGGCAGTGGAATTTGCCAAAAACCAGATTTTTTACAACACTACTCCCAAAAATCAGATCTTTCAATGAATTAGCAATATGGTATATTTTGATAACTTAATAAACAGTTAATGATATTTTTGCCTTTTACATTTTATCTATTACACTAATAACCTTGGACAGCTGAATATGGTACATACAACTATATATAAGTTGTTTTTAAAAATTCAGGATATATAAATACTTTTTCAAATGTACAGTGTATATATAACCCTTAACAATAAATGGGGCCAAAATAGCTTTGTAAAGGATGGCATTCCTAAAGTTTATTTTGGCTTTCCCAATTTTTATCCGAACATTTTTTATTGGCCTCTTGTATGGGGCCCACCATGGAATACGAGAAGCCACTGCCCCAAAACCCTCCCAAACGGGCACTTAGAAGTTAAAAACCTATGCCTAAGGAAAAACCATTCTTTATTATCTTACAACAAGTCTACATTAATTAATTAATGGAATAAGGTTTAAATTCGACCTTAATATAACATTATTTAATTAATGGGGATCCGTTTACGTTTTACATCGGGTCTTAATCTAATGTGTACGAAGGCGTGCGTCATGTGCCTTGTAACCAACTAACAATATACTATTTTCTAATCCCATGTGCGGTGTCGTATTCATAATTTCCTTTAAGGCTCTGGATGATGAATGAATGATGATCATGATGATGATACGCGATGTCATATCATCATGAAGTGGACTAACTACAAACTACCCCCATTCACCCAAACGATATTCAAAGATGTATAATACATAAGTAATCCCAGGTCTACACACGATCAATCTCCGATAGAATCGGAAGATTCCAATCCAGTGCTCTTGGATTATCTTTGAAAGTGCAAATGAATCGACAAATCAGTTGAAATATGACCGTCCGATCAGTATAGACGAACATCGGATCCTACTTCGTCTACAATGGCCCACCTCTCTGTACGTGAGGAGATTCTGATTCAGAAAACATGTGCTTCACAGGAAGCATGAGCTGTAACCAGCTTGAATTATAGTTTGGCACGAATCCGCCGGGATTCCAATCTGACGGTTAAGGTCCTTGTTCATTTTCATGACAGAGCGCGCGAAACAACCGGCCGTCACCTTCTTAAAAATTAAAATCATCGAGTATTACGTGGCAAACCATGGAGCGGACTCCAATTACCTGTTAATTATGGTTTTTGATAAAACTGAAAAAGTACGATGTGACGTGAAGATTTCTCAATTCTCATACATTTGTCGAACTCGAAGTCTCGAACCACGTTAATAACCAGGGCTCGCTCAAGAGAAAGCCGGTGGCATTTTCGTAATAAATGCAAAATTGTAGGGCAAGAGTAGGTTGAACAAGACTCCAAAGATTCCATCTCAAGAAAATTGACGCTATAAATGCACTACCAGTACCTTTCAATCTTTCATCCTCTAATCCAGACAAAAACATATCTGCATTCCTTTTCCGTTTTTTCTAATTCTGATTCTTATTTTTCGGTTCAAACTTCAAAGAACGCGCACACACTCACATTCCAATTGGCATTCCTTTTTTTCTTTTACTGTTCTTCAGCGGTGAAATCTCAAATCTCTTCATTCTAAAAGTTCGGGTCTAGTTTTCTTTTTGGCAGAACTCGAGAGTGGAGACTCTGCTCGAATTCATAGCTAGTCTTCGATTATGGACTGAAATCGCCATCGGTTGGACGAAGTTCTTGTACGGAAAAAGCTAGATTTCTGTTGCTTCTAAGTTTTCTTGTACTTTTAATCTCGTTGTTTTTTTTTCCTTTCTTCGTGTTCCTTGCGATCTGAATTTGATTTGAAGCTCTATTGTGAGTATTTGTTTTTGAAAACTCGAGTTGGTAGGTTTTGTTGGATTCTTGAGGCAGTGTCTCTTTTGTCTTTTCGACCACCGCAAGTCTGGATTTGAAGCTTGAGATTTTTCGATCGCTTAGGTTGATGAATATATAATCGTAGAACTTAGATTTCGAAGCTTGAATTGGGATGTTCTATTTATTTCTTCTATATGTTACTCTTCTTCCTCGCCCTTCTGTATTTCGGATCAGCTAGATGAACTTCTCAATCCAAAAATTAAAAAAAAAAGGAAATAAGGAATTACAGTATGAAGTTCATAGTTCTCTGCTTTTTTATTTTCTAAATAAATTTTTTTTCTCTTCTCCTGTCTAAATCCACTGTATGAAATTCCTATAAATAAATTGTAAGTCTAAATTTATTTTTCACAGGTTCTATTCCACTGGACGGCTTTTTTTCTGAAGTTCAGGATCATTGATGAAACTTCTTATAAGAAACAGGATTTTGGGAGTTCCAAGTTCATTCCCGATCTTGTTGACTTCCCTACCAGCAACAAAGAGAGGAGGAAAAAGTCTCAGGTGAATCTTCTTTCTATCTTCAGGAGGGTTTAAACCGCAAAATTTGTGCTTTATTCATTTTCTTCTTCGCTTTTCCTCTAAATGACAAAAAGCCACGTCTTCTTCTTTAGACTTTGATTTTATTCTCTTCTCTCGTCTTTAAGTTTTAAAATAAATAAATACTAAGTTTCTCGTTTTTTTTAATGAAAAACACAAACTTAAAACAAGAACAGCTCACTTCTATAACGTTTGAGCTGTCGTTCTGGAATTCCATTGAGGTCCCAGAGTTTTCAAGGACTAATCACTAGGTTGGTGGCGCCAAATAAGAACCGGCACCTACTTTGCATGTCTTAGATAAAACAAAACGTTGTTAGCTTTTGAATATGTATGAAGTATGATAAACCAGGCTTCATCATCCTCTGTGAAACCTGAGCGTTTCAGACTTTAAATGTGACCCACCAGTGAACTGGCATTGGCTATCATCAGCCACTTTTTTTCTGTGCTATCTCTTTGAATCATTTTGATGGAGGGATGTTAATCTGTCTCCATTATTTTTGAATCATAATGTCACATGATTTTTAGGAACTCCGCCTAGTGTGTATATGGAGGATTTACTTTTTTGATTCCGGGGATGTCTGGTGTGGCCAAGGATAGCGGGAACTCAGCTCCATGGAATAGTCTCTCAAGATTTGCAGATTCCAAAGTAAATGAGCATATTTCTTACCTATGCCCTTGTCTTAATGAACTTAACTTTCAGTCATGCTAGTCTCCTATATCCTAATCAATTGTTTCCCTGCATAAATAAGCTTATGCCTCCATCTATAGATTTACAAAAGTATGTATGAACCCTTAACTTCTGATCCTTTTCCTCCATTTCAGACATACCATGAGAATATTACAACTCTCCAATTCAATATTTAAAAGTCGAGAAGACTTCTTTTTCATTACTTTGCCTTCTTCCAGTTTGGTGTTAATAGACAATTTTCTTTTACCCCTTTAAAGGTTGGTATCTTCTCTCATCTTCTTTCTTTCTTTCTTTCGTATACCTTTTAACTTGATGTACATGTCATAGATCAATTTCAGCTTCCATTCTGCAAAAGTCAAATCTTTATTACTGAAGCTTCTGGTTCAATAAAAATTTATGGCCTACTCCTTGGAAAAGAGTAATTAGTTTAATGTATCACTATTGCCAGTTTGCCACTTTGATTCTAGTTCTATATTTTCTACTATGTGGATGATAGAAATTTTATTTGTAAACCACAGAAGGATCTGATTTGTTTCAGAAAAAAAAAATCCTGCATTTCAAAGCTTAATTCCTGATTCTATAGATAGTCCCTTGTCTTGGACTTACAAGTTGACAGGAAACATGTCACTTGATAGAGCACAAAGACAATAGATGATTTGAACAGCCAACCCCAAATAGTTGGGAATAGGGCTGAGTTGATCTTGGGTTGTAAACAGTATCTTACCTTGCTCCAATGAATGTAGAGTTCTGTATTTTACTTACATGTATACCAGTGAATTAAGTTGGTTTGCAAAGAAAGCTGACCTGATTGTACTTCAATTGTTTATTGCCCTGACTGCACCCCCTTTCTCTTCTCTGTTACTCCTTTTTCTTTTCTTCTCTTTAAGGGGGGTGGGGGGAGGTAGTGGTGCTGCTGGTTGGAAAAATTCCTCTATTTACTTCCTGAAATTTGATAAATATTGTGCAGGCATGCAATAATAATGCACGTTAATCTTATTATCATGTAGTTCACTGGTTACCATATTTGAGATTTTAAAGGAGTTTCTTTCTCTCTGTTCCTCAGATATTCATCCATTTGATCTTGAGATGGAAATTGCCTTGTCCCTGAGAAGTGGTTATTGAAGAAAGTTTGTAGGAAAAGCCAAATCAGTGGGGATGAGGAATCATCAGTTCAGGAAGTCAATAAAATCCTTGTTTGGGACTCATATTGCTCCTGAAAAAAATGAGCAGCTGAAAGAGACTAAAGAAGGTAATTTTCTTCAATTTCTTGGCCAAATTTTTTAGTTTTAGGGAGTAGTTGAATCTATCATTTAAATTAGAGATTATGTGAAATTCACCAAAGGGGAAATGCGAAAGATGCAAGACAATTCAATGAATAGTTAACAGTGTATTTTTTTATAAGTAACTGAAACTTTTTAATAATTGTTGGAAAAGAATGCTATCTACAAGAGGTAATCCAGGTATCCCAAATTTAGGCTAGCCCTTCTACCTAACCCATTATCTTTCTTTTTCAGTTTAAGTTATCATTTAAATCCCTTGGGACAACTCCCCAGAACATCTGTGCTCTATTTACCCCTTGTTTAGAGCCAAACTATTTATTACAAGTTTGCCGAACCCATGTGAAGGTGGCTTCCACTTCTCATGATATCTGCCTGGTTTCTCTCATAATATGTCTATACTGCCATGGTACCATGTTGTTTCCACAAAGCTATCCCACTATGACCTGATGATAGTTTAGCTCCCTCCCTATTCTTAGACCTTGCTGGATAGCCAGGAATTTTGCTCTTATCAGTTTCTTTGTTCTATAAGGCCTGAGAAAATAGCTGCAAGTGTGTCATCATGGTACTGGGAAGCCCCTCCTATGTAAGAAGGTCCGGGTTTCCCCATACTACATCCATCAAAATTCAATTTTATGTGATCTGCTGGTGGAGAGGACTAAACAAGAGGTCCCAAAGTGTGGGCATCAAGAGAGGAAGAACAATTCATGATGTTCTGCCATCCTTTAAAGATATCACCCACTGAAAAGTGCCTAAAGAGGGGCAAGGTTTACCCCAATAAACAGCCTATATGCAGTGCTTTTAGTTCTTCATTTCTTTTCCATTTATATGTGTGTCCAAATGTTCAATAATTGAGGGCCTTGTTGCAAGTCAGTATTTCCTGTTTTCTTTTCAAATCAAGCTGTAGTTCTTTCATATTCTGGAATATCTTCTAAACTAGTTTTTTTATTGGTAATAGTTAGCTTTATTGATTTTCATAGAAAAAGTTATGTACAAGATATAAGTATATCTGTTAGGTTAGTCCACAGTACTTAACACCCTTACATGTCAATCTTCTTACAAACTTCCCCCAGATGTTACACTCCAAAACATCTGTTCCCTACTAACTCCATGCCTTGCAAGTGAGTCAGCAAATATTTGTATCCTAGTTTTCTTTAAATTCCTTGATTTTGAATATGGTGGGTAAAACTGTTAATAACAGCATTAGGTCTATGGTGGTAGACTGTTATTGCATTTGTAAAAAGCACATGTAAAATGAAGGACAACATTAATCTTCTTATTGTTATAGAAACCATAATATCCCATTTCTTTGTCTTTCTGTATATGATTTTAAATTAATTTAGTGATAAAATTATGAGGAAAAATATGCCAAGTCCTACAGAACTAAACATCCGATACTCAACTTTTATTGGATAAATACATGAAGTTTGTGTATGTATGTAGCTATAGTGGCTGGTTATTTTCTGATACATTCTTTTTGTACAACCTCACTTAACCCCCTTCTAAACTCAATAAAGATTTAGTTTACCAAAAAATAGAAGTACATGCCATGTAGTTGAAGCACCTGATCTATCAATGCTTTACTAATACAAAATCTGCTTTACACCCTATATAAGACATAGGAGATGTATAGGAACAAGTGTCTCAATCAGACCCAGAGAAAAATGTATCTCCTAATCTATGATACCCAGATACCTGTACAGCCTATACAGGTGATGGAGACAATACTTGCTGGATATGACATAGGTATTGCATGGACACTTCTAGATGTATCTTATGGCACTAACACTTTTGACATATGCAAAATGGTGTGACTTAACAAATTATATTATAAATTAAATTTGGAAAAAAAACTAAAGGTTAGGTCCATATCCAGTCCACCCCTCTGAAGACTCTAGATGGCTAGGATTAAATTGGGTAACCGTCTTTTTTGGCAAGAAATAAGTCTTGAGCATATTACATGGATATGCCTGTATCCATGTTTTGGTTTTAGGAAATGGAGAGTCATATCCCTGTTTCCTGTATCCATGCCCATGTTTGTATTCATATCTATATACAGGCATTATAGATCCTAAGTATTTTGTGTCAAACCAACTTTCTGGCATTGTTTACTAGTAGAAAAGAATTAGAAGTACTGCTAAACAAAGAACCAAAGTGCTTTCAGCTGTTAATCTGTTATAACCATTATAACAGTCAAAACAGTCAAAGGTCCTTCACCAATGCCTGTATTACATCTATTATTTTAAACCTCTGCATTATTTGTTTTATACTAAAGGCTGATAAATGCATTCACCTGGATGGAGCAAAAGTGTAGTTGGTTCCCTTCATTGTATTTCATTTTTATCTTTTATTCCTCAACCAGTGTTTTAAAAGCGTAAGGTGCAAAAAAAGTGCGACGGGCAATTTGTGCCTTTTTGAAGCAAGGTGCAAAAATGAAAAAAATGCCAAAAAGAAATAAAATACTAAAGTATTAAATATAATATTAATTAAAAATATAAACTTAAATTTTAAAATAAATATTTAAAACCTGTTATCTAAAATTAAAACACATAAACATAACATGTAAAACATATTCAAATGAAAATTTAAAAATAAAACCAAACATATAAAACATATTCAAGTATATAAAATCCCCAATCTCTTTTTTTTTCCGATTGCATTACTTCAAATAGCTGTAAAACATTTTACGTTCCTGAATCTACGTCCCACCTTTGTACCAAGCCCCTTGAGGCATGCCCTTTTGTATCAGGTGCACACCTTTTGAAAGTGCTGCACCTGGGGCCTTGGCGAGGCACATACCTTAAAATGCCCCTCGTCTGTGCACCTAGATGCGCCTTTTAAATCACTGCTCAAAACCTTATATTCCTGACTAAAGGATGGAGACGGTATATTTTTATTGATAAATGTAACAAAGAGTGCATTCATGGTTACTTGGGGATAATCCGAATATATAAAAGAAGTCAGGGAAGTAGAGGAAGATGGTTAGGTCATGCACATAGAAGGCCACCTACTACAATAGTTAGGAGTGACCTGATGCAAGATCAGGTTCTAAAAGAAGTAGAGTAAGCCAAAATGGTCATTGGTTACTCAGTATTGTGAAAAGGCGTAAGGAATCAATACAAAACAATCAATCAATGACCTTAACAGAAATATTCATACTATCCTGGTTCTTCCACACTCCACTCAGAAAATCTTAAGACAACCAGTTTTATTCAGTGAAGAAGGGATGATTTTACACTTCGATGGGAGTGCTACAGGCAATCCAGGTTCAGCAGGAATTGGGAGCCATCTTGAGGGATGAAAGAGGTAAAATTTGCTGGGTTTTCAGTGGTCCCATCGGATTCACTGGCTCAACTAAGGCTCAAGTGTTGGCGGCTCTCACTGAAATCAGAATAGTAAATTGCTTGGGAATTCAGAACCTCTCTATTGTAGGAGATTCAGAAAATACCATTAAATGGCTAAGGGATAAGGAAGGGGGCCCTTGTAGGTTGAGCCACTATTTGGAAGAGGCAAGGGATTACTTGGAATGCTTAAATGCAAAACTGTTTTGGATTCCAAGGGAGCTAAATCCTATTGCAGATGGCTTAGCAAAACTGGTTTCTTGCTTAGAAAATATGTACAATGATAGGCTTCCTCCTTTTTAATCTCTTTGGGGTTTGACCCTGTTTTTTACATCTTCTCATGTAGTCCTTCTTTTAATGGAATTTGGTTAAACATCCCTCAAACAAAAAAAAATACTACCCTTGGCAGAGTGGCATGACAAACAAGAATTGCCTAACCAAACCTAAGTTGTTGGGTTAATTTCTGTTGAGTTGTATAACTCATAGGTGGAATGGAGTGTGGAGGGTGCAACTTGGGCCATGCTGGCTTGGGTTGAGGTCAACCATAGCCTAACCCAATCTTCAACCTGAGGTTCCCAACCCTAACCTAACCCAATCATGAGATTAGGTTGGGTTTGGGTTGGATTCTTAACTACAAAATTTACAAAGACATGAATAAATAATACTAACTTATGCAATTATGCATATTGTATATGAAAATGATACATAGACATCATATTATGGTAATATTTTATCTTTTTTTTGATCAATTTATGGTAATATTTTATCATAAACTACTCTTCATCATCACCCCCTCTCCTCTCCCTCTTACATAAGCATATTTGTATGCATAAATCATTATGCGTACCATATAGTAATGCACAATATAATTTCAAGTGTAATACATTGGGTTGCCCAGGGAATCAACCTTAATTCAATCTGACTTTATATTGAGTTGGCATTTTCCAATCCTAACTCTTAACTTTATATTAGGTTGGCCCAACCCAAATTGCACCCAATTGATCTATGCCATTAACTTGAGGGTGCTAGCTGGCTTAGTTTTCTGGGGAAGCTGAACCCCAGAATTGGAATTAAATAACCGATAACCAACAAACTGCAAAAATTCCCGTAAAGATTTCATTTTGTAGACATATTTCTAAGCTCTAGTGCACTTGTAGGATTTCTTAACTTGTTGGGCCTCTGGCTGTTTCCAGTGACAACTATTTTCCACTAGTTCCAGAATCCAAGTTATGCATCTTCTGTTGCCAGTTCTTTATTTTCTTCTTTTTCAAATTTGTGACAGAGGCCATTGGTAGATCTTTTGAGGTTGTATGTTGTATGTTCAAGAATTGAATATCTAAGCACATAAAATGTTGCCTGATTGCATCTTAATTTACAGTTCTTATATTTGTCAGCTTGTTTTGAAGAAATTAATTCAAAACCTTCTTAAATATTGCAGAAATGGAGAATAAAGTGAAAATGATCTTGAAGCTTATCCGAGAAGAAGGAGACAAATTAGAGAATTCCAACGAAGGGTCTGAACTTGTTGACCTCATTGAGGATTTCCATAACCAATACCAATCCCTCTATTCACTCTATGATCATCTCACAGGGGAATTAAGGAAGAAAGCTCATTACAAAGAAGAAAACAATGGCCACTCTTCATCTAGTTCCAGCTCAGATTCAGAATCTGATCTTTCTTCCAAGGAGAAAGTCAAGAAGGACTCAATACAAGATGGGCTTCAAAATCTGCCAGAGAGCAGTACACAAGAACTTGAATCTCTGAATAACGAAATAGCTGTCCTGAAGCATAGATTGACAGATACACTTGAAGAGAAGGAAGATTTAAACTTTAAATATCAGACTGCTTTGAGAAAAGTTCAAGAAGGAGAGAAAGTCATAGAAGATCTTAGAATTGAAGTTGAACACTCAAATGATGAGAGGTTAACATTACAGACTGAGAATGGAGGCCTGAAGCTAAAGTTGGAGTCTGCCAGTAAGTTAGAATCTGATCTGAAGCAAAGGTTGGAAGATTTGAACAGAGAGAATGAAGCCTTGAACAGGGAAAATTTGACAGCTTTCAAAAGGGTTGATGAGGGGGAGAAAATTATAGAAGGCCTAAGGGCTGAAGCTGATCAATTGAAAGAAGAGAAATCAAAACTTTGGGTTGACAATGGAGCTCTAAAACTTGAACTGGAATCTGAGAAAGGGGAGGTTTCTAACATTAAGCAACAACTGGAATTTGCAAATCAGAAAGTAATTGAATTAGACCAGGAAATGGACATTATACATAAAGAGAATAAACAACTGGCTTCAGAGAACACAGAACTTTCAACTGAGTTTGAGAAAGCACAGAAAAGAATACAGGAGCTTGAAGAAGAAGCTAACAGGTTAAAGGAGATTTCTGAAGCAAACAAAGTTGAGCTTTCAAATCTTGTGATGGCACGTGAAAATTTTGAGAATGAAGCTTCAGCTCAAGCAAAGAGCTTTGAGACTCAGTTGGCCAACTTACAATTGGAGCTGGATTCTTTACTTATCCAGAAAACAGAACTACAAGAGCAATTTGAACACAAAGTGAATGAAGCTAAACAGTTGGAGAAGGGAAAAAGAGAATTGCTGCAGGTTCAAACTGACCTGCAAGAACAAATACTAGAATTGGATAGAATATCCAGAGAAAGAGGAGATGAAATTTCTTCTCTCCTGAAGAAACTTCAGGATGTCAATAATGATGCATCAACTCAAGTAGAGGAGTTAAAAGCAAAGATCAATGATCTACAACTGGAGGTGGACTCTTTAAGTGCACAGACGAGTGAACTGCAAAAAGAAAATAAACAGTTGACAGAGGAACTTCAGGAAGGAAATGATAAAGCATCTACAGAGATAAAGTGCTTGATGGATCAGGTCAATGATCTGAAACTGGAACTGGACTCTTTACAAGCCCAGAAAAAAGAGTTAGATTCACAGTTGGACAGACAAAAGCAAGATGCTTTGAAGTTCCGGACAGAAATAGAAAATCTGAACATTGAATTAGAAAACAAGTCCAGGGATCAAGTGGGATTGTTCAAAGAGAAGGAAAATTTGACAGTTCAGGTACATGAAATGCAACTAGAGATTCATTCTCTGTTGGCACAGAAATCTAAACTGGAAGAACAGATCGGAAATAAAAGCCATGAAGTTGAGAAGGTTGGAGAGGAAAACCAGGCATTGCTTCTAATTCAGACTGACTTGCAAAATCAGGCACAAGATCTGCAGAGAATATTAAAAGAGAAGGAACTTGAACTCTCCATACTCCTGAAAAAAATGGAGGATGTAAAGAATGAAACATCGGCTCAGATAGGGGAGTTAACAGCCAAGGTTAACAGTCTGCAACTGGAGGCGAATTCTTTAAGTGATCACAAAAGCGAACTGAATGAGGAAAATAAGCAGCTGAGAGACAGAAATGATGAAGCCTCTATTCAGATCAAGAGCTTAATGGATCAGGTCAATGATTTGCAACTGGAAGTGGACTCCTTGAAGACCCAGAAAAACCAGTTTGAATTGCAAATAGAGAGGCAAAATCAGGAAGCCTTACAATTTCAGAATCAAATAGAAAATCTGAACCTTGATTTAGAGAACAAGACTCGGTACCAACAGACATTGTTGAAAGAGAAGGAGGAATTGACAGCCCAGATACATGACATGCAACTGGAATTTCATTCTTTGTTTGAACAGAAAAATGAACTGGAAGAGAAGATCAAAAGTATAAATCTTGAAGCTGAGCAGGTCAGAGAGGAAAACCAGGGGTTGCAGCTATCCCAAACAGACATGCAGAATGAAGTATCAGATCTGAAGAGAATATTTACAGAAAGAGGAGATGAACTCTCCACTCTTTTGGAGAAACTGAAAGAAGGTGAAGATAAATTCATCAAGTTAAATGAAGAATATAAACAGCTAGAAGATCTGTTTGAGAAGTCCAAGGAGAATTTCCATGTTGCAGAAAAGAAGATCGAAGAAATGAGAGAGTTGCTTCAGGGTAACGTTGAATCTAAAAATGAGATGGCTTCTACCATGCAAAGGGCTGCTGATGAGTTGAAAAATGAAATAGAAATTGGAAGGAAAGAGATTGAGAAGATGAGAATGGAGTTAGAAGAGAAAAGTCGCCTTCTGTCATGGAAGGATGAAACAATTGCAACATTGCAGAAAATACAAGAGGAACAGCATGGGGAGATCACAAAATTACAGACAGAGGTTGAAACCATTGAAGTTAAGCACCGCTTGTCCAACCAGAAGCTCCGTGTCACAGAACAATTACTCACAGAAAAAGAAGAGAGCTACATGAAGGCAGAAGAGAAGTTTCGGGAGGAACATAAGGTACTTGAAGAACAGATTGCAAAGTTCTCCAAGAAGATCCTATCCTATGAAAATGAGATGATGGGTATCAAGAATTCATTGCAAAAAGCAAGCAGTACATTCTCCGGATTGGAGTTGGTGGTGCAGAAATTTCAGGAGAATCACTTGTCCTTCCAAAACCGCATCCTGGGTTTTTCAAATGAACTTCAGATAGCGAAGAACTGGGTCTTTGAGACAAACATCAAGAGCGGAAAATTGGAAGAGACAACGAGGAATCTAGTTGAGCAGCTAGAAAGTAAGAAAGAACAAGAGTTGCTATTACAAGAGAGGGTTGGAACCTTAGAATTGAAAGTGAGCAAGGGCGAAGAAGAGAAGGAGAGACTGACAAAAATCGTTGACCACCTTGAGGAGAGGGTTGGGGAGTTGGACAAGATGGTGAAAGACAAGGAGTATGACATGTTGAGTATGCAGGAAGAGAAGAAAGAGGCCATAAGACAGTTGTGTTTGTGTGTGGATTATCAGCACGAGCGTTGCAATCAACTTAGGGAATTGCTCTCCAAGATGATGGTGAGAAACCAGAGGAGAGCTTGAAACTTTGTTTCTTTTACTAGCATTTGATTTGATATAGATTGCCATAAAGTTATTCACAATTGGTTCATTTTTTGTCCCACGAGGATGGTGGTTTCTCTGATTGAACTTTTTGTAAGCACATTATTCAATCGAACATTATTGGCGGGCGGAGTGGTAATCCAGTGAGCGCGCTCTCATTGGTACGTATTTATTGGCACTTTTTTTTTCCGGAAAATTACGGACAGTTCAAATGCAAATTTCTGAATTTAACTGCACACCTATAAACATTTAAAATATCAAATACCCCCATTCTATACATCAATGCCCGCCCTGAATTGGTATCAATTCCGAACTGACACCTATCCAACCGTACTTTAAGTCTAAAAATTCTGACCCTGAACTGTCATTCTTCCTTTTTTTTTCTCTTTTGGTGGAAAGTTCATAAGCGCATTTTGTTATCTGAATTTTTTATGAACACGGTACTGACGGTAGGTATCCATGACTAACTATCTACACGAGTGCCGATTTACAAACGGATCTCTCAGCGGAATTTACCCCCTCAAGACCACTTTTCGGGTTTTCTCCTACTTCTGTTATATCCTCTGAATTTCACAATTCCACTTGCCAATTCAGATACCTAGTAACAGTTCATAAACCATGGTTTTGAAAACTGGAAACTGGACCGGATCGACTTTTAAAATGACGTATACATGAATTGAGTCACATCAAACCACGGGTAGCATAACACACGTTAACTAGGCCTCCGATTCAATTACCTTACCCTAAAAGTCCTTGAGGACTGCCACAGCGACTGCGAGTGCTTGGGTGTGGCACATTAACCTTGGGGCCTACCATCACGAAAATTATCTGGCGGCAATTAGATGGGTTACAATTTACATTACCTTGGATGTGGATGGAATCCAATCCCCTCTTAAAAAATAAACCCTAAGTGTTAAATCAGATAACCAATTTGAAGACTTCGCATTGAATCAGGCCTAGGCCTCTTAAATAGTATTAGTAATTAAGTACATGCATTGTACATGAAAAATTTTTCATTATATTAATTATTTGAATTTTAGATATACTATAGTTAAGAAAAATTGAAAATTAATAAAAACAACAATATGATTAAAAATAAACTTAAACATTTATTATTCAATTTGACATCATGTGTTTCTTTGAAAAGTTAGATCACTAACTCACCATCTAGATAAAAAAATAGCTTTGCTTTTGGATTAGTTTTAAATTAGGAAAAATTATAGTTAGAGTTGGTTGTATATTTAAAATTAGGCTACAAGTTGGTTCATAAACCAACAAAACTCTAACAATTGGCTCTATATTTTAAATTATAAAAACCCTCGCCATGTCATCAAAGGCTTATGTGGTTGTTGCCAATATGAGATTTTTAATCCATGTTAGACACAACAAAAAGCTTATACTAAAATTGCCCTTAAATGTTGGGTGATTGGAAAATAAAAAAATGAGGTTTTTAGTCTCTCTCTCTCTCACTCACTCACACACAACACACAGTCATCTTTATCTGCTCAACGACTATGTGATTTGAAAATAAATAAAAATGGTTTTTGGTTTCTGAATTTACATTCTCTATATCGATTTCTCTCATTCTCTCTCTACCTATCGTTCTCCCTCAATCTCTCACATTCTCTTTCTCGATCGATCTCTCATTCTCCCTTAATTTCTATCGTTCTCCCTCAGTTTCTCTCCCGCTCTCTCTCTCTCATTTTTTTTTCTTACACACTTATATGGTATTAATTAGATCATATAAAAGAAATGAGACAAACTTTGTATGGTTCAAAAATTATTACACCAATTTGATAAAAATTCACAAGAAGATCATGGTTATGAAATTTATACCAATTGGAAAACGATAAAGATTGAGGGAGAATAAGATATTGACCAAGGGGGAGAGTGAGGGAGAAAAATGATAAAGATTGAGGGAGAACAATAGGGAGGGAGGGAGAGAAAGAGACAAAGGTTTTGATTTGGCTACATATTGAAGTTAAGAGAGTGGGAGATCAAGAGATGACTGTGAGAATGAGAGATAAGGGAGGGAGATCAAGAGACAAAAGGAGTGGGAGAGAAATTGAAAACCTATTTTTGCTATGGGTTTTTTGTTGTGTCCAACATGTACTAAAAGTTTCATGTTGGAAACATCCACATAAGCCTCTGATGACATGGCGGGGGTTTTATAATTTGAAATGTTAAGCCGGTTGTCAAAGTTTTGTTGGTTTCTAGACCAACCTGCAACCTAATTTTAAATGTATAACCAACTTTGACTATAATTTTCTCTTTAAATTATATATTTCATTTACATTATATAAAATACTTTTTACTTATCACACTTAATTTTTGTTTGTCTATGGTATCGTTTGACTCAAATAAATTATAATTTTCTCTTAATTTTTGTTTGATTTCTAGGTCGACATTAAATTTTGTATTACATTTCCATCATTGATAAAATAATTTCTCATGTATAAAACTTATTTTTGTTCAATATAATAAATGCACAATATTAGAGATATACCCAATATTTTATTTTTTATAAATATATAACATTAGATATGTGCACAAAATTTTCTCTATCTTTTTTTTTGTGATTCTTTTGTATTTTCTATTAATAAAAATTTTATTATTTGAGTATGACATCATTTCATTTCTAGGTAGATTTTGAATTTGACATTCCATTTTCACTATTAATAAAAATACTTCTTACATTTCATAGTTATTTATTTTAATTTTTTATTATTTAATTATGGCAATATTTATTAATCTATTTGACTCCAAATGGTCGAATTTCTTACCAACCACCGGGAGTGAAGAAAATGGTTTATTTTCAAAATATTTATTTTTATACTATTAAAATCAATATTGTAGATTTAATTATAAGAATTTAATGATGAACAAAATATATCTTAAATATAGGATTTAATGAGATAGAATAGGAAAATATTTTTATTTCCAATTGGTTTTAAATTTTACATTCCATTTCCATCATTAATAAATACATTTCTTACTTATCATACTTATTATTGTTTAAAATACATGTTAAAAATGTTCCCAATTTTTTTAATTTCTATTTTTGTTATTTTACTTAGTTTTAAATTTTATAATTTAATTATGGCAACATGGATTAACCCATTTGACCCAAAAAAAATGATTTAATTTCTTACCACCTCCTAGATGAAAAACATTATTTTTGCTAGGTAAATTTTAAAAAAATAAGCTTTTATATTAATGAAATTATTAATTTATTAAGTATGGATTTAATTAATAGAACTTAATGATGAAAAGAAACAAAAATGACTTAAATATATGATTCGATGAACATGAATGTAAGTTAACAACTTAAATGTTGGATTTAATAAGAGAATAGAATGCATTAAATATAATTAAATTACCTCTTTTCAACTCATTTAAAATAAAAAACCGATTACCTTATTTGTCCTCATTGTTTATCAATAAATTTAAATATAAAGAGATAAATTTTGTCCTTAAAAAATTCCAGAAATATTCTTACAGCCATTCGTGCTTTTTAAATTAATATAGATTTAACAAATACTCGACTCAAGCCCGACTAAGTTGGATATTACAACATGTACAGGTATAGATACAATTCTTCCCGATCCACATTGAATTTATTAAAATACCCCTAATGCTTATAAATTATCAATATACCAGATTATATTCAAGATCGACCCAGGCCCAACCTACCCTCAAATGTGAGGATGAGAATCGAGAGGATTTTGCATATACACACGAGAAAAGGATTTGACTTTGAGATATAAAAATCCAACCTGCTGCATGTTATGAAAAGGTACAGTTTAAAAGGTTTGTAGGAAGACAGATATAATATAAAATTTATAGAACCCTTCCCAAGCCCACCTGCTAGCAACCCCCACTAATGCATAATCCAGTGGTCCTCATCAGAATACGTCAGGGCTCTCCCACGTTTACATTGGCTTCTTGAACGGACACTAAGTGTCTTTCCGTGGATTCAACTGACAAACACGTAATCAGATTGAAGCACGCGTCCTTCATTCAAGAGCCTGATTTTTCGTTCTCTTCTTTCTCCTCGAAGTATATTGTGTTTTTTTCAAATTTTCAAAAAAAAAAAACGGCTATTTGAAAAACTGAATCTAATCACTCCCTTGCAAAAACCTCTACTAAAACATGGGATATCTTTTAACACCAATATGCATGATGATTGCTGAGGAGGGGACAGATGAAAGCAAATGATGGAGAGGGGCATATGGTCACTGACAAGATGTTATTCTAATAAATAACCAGTTACGGTACGGTTAACAAGATTTGGAAAGGGTGTTTCCTCTTTACTTTCTCTAAGGAAGCTACTCACATTCACCTCGCGTTCTTACAGACCTTTTATTGGCAAAGCAGACAAATGAGAAGTAGAAAAACTAAGGGCATGTTCGGATGGAGATAAAAGCTGGGGAAGGTAATATCGTAATTGGCTAAAACTAAAAGTATATGTAACTTTCTTCATTCTCTACGGGAAAAAAATATTTGTAACTTGCTCTCCCCCCGCCTTACCTTCTCTCTTTCACCTACAAAAAGAAGCACCATAAATCAACAAATATCATGAGGCCTCATCCACGCTTCAGTCCGATATTCTCATCTCAACTCCAAGAACGTCTTTCACCATCTCGTATGTCACAAATGCAATTGCAATGGATGGTACCACCTGAAGAAAATAGCAGTAGCAATGCATCTTCGGATTAGTTTTTCTTATTCCACTGATGCTTGATAGGAAAAATCAATTCAGAAATGTTGTTAGTTTGACATAAAAACTAATCTTCTATCTCAGAACACCTAACAACTCAAAAGAAAATGGCCATTTCAATGATCAAGTCCAGCACACCACACCCTACAACCCCTCCCAACCTAACAACTACAACCCCTCACAACACCTAACAACTCAAAAGAAAATGGCCATTTCAATGATCAAGTCCAGCACACCACACCCTACAACCCCTCCCAACCTAAAAAAGGGTTAAATAATTAAAATACGTCCAACCAAGAGGGCCAATGGAATTGGCAGGTCTCAACTCCCAACACATTCTGCATTTGTTGTGGTTAACACACTAATCTTCTACTGCCTACCAAAATAGGACCAAGGAACAGGTATACATTAATCAATAAGGAATAAGTGTAGTATGAAACTGACCTTGACAGAATTGGGGACCAAACCCTTGTATAATGCTCCAAAGCCTTCATGGCGAATTGTTTTCCTGAATGCATCAACCATGCCAGTATACTCAAGTGGTGCCTTGCTCCTTCCATCACCAGTAACAATTGAAGCAGCATGACTCCAGCCCACCATCTGCATTCTTCTACGAATGACGTCAAGAGGATAAGCAACTGTTTGGCCAACAGTTCCTGCAGCAGCTCCACATGCTAGCCTTGTTGTCACACTTAATTCAGAGTCTTCAACCAGGCCAAATGGTCTAGTTTTGATCAACCAGTCTTTTAGAGATTCATATACGGCAAAGTTGAGACCAACATATGGGATCTGCCAACAGTAGAAAATAGTATAAGCTAAACAATACTGGCAGTGAAAAAATCATGTTCTCAAATTGCCCCCTCAAATCTAATCAGGCACCTACAGTTTTAAAATAAAAAAAAAGAAAAGAAAAGAAAAGAAAGATAATTGATTTTCCCCTGGTGGTTGTGTATGTGCCCTTTTAACTGCTGCAAGGAAAAGGGGTGTTCAGTTGGATTTCCTTTTGCAAATGATTGAGAACTAATTGCTTATCATTCTTCCACAGCCATTTTAATACAATCTCTTTTCATCTTTTTCTTTGTTTTGTAACCCCACCTTGGCCCATGCATACATGGGGTCATGAGTCTGACCATGAGTCACTTTCATTTATTATAATTGCCAAAGGAGGCCTTCTTCAATGTGAAATGTTTTCCTTATTCAAAACCATTTGGTTTAAAAACAAAATGATTCTTAAAACAAAAGCATGGAAAACATGTTCTTGGATTATGTGGTTTCAGTCTTCAACACTCAAACCAAAAACATGTTCTTGAATTTCTGGCATGAACACATTTCATCTGGCTATTTAATACCATGTTCATAAACCATATATCTGTACTCTCTTTTTTATGTTCTAAAAACCATATTTTGAGTGCTTCAAAAACATTAATTGTTTTTGAAATAAAACCAACTTGCTTTTACTTTACAAAGTAAAAAGTACAATTCAAGAACTTTTTTTTTTGTTTTTTCTGATGCAGCAATTTAAGAAAGAAATGAAAACAAAGACATTTATATCATAGAACACCCTCAAAAAAGGGCAATGCAAAATTTAGAGGGAGAGAATGTTCTGAGTTGGGCTAATTCTCTGCTTCAAAATCTTTAAAAAACATGAAAATGATGGTAATATTAGAGGTTAAAACTTAAAGGCTCTGTTTAGGAAGAGTGCAAATACAAATATGTTCAATACAAAATCTTGTATACAGTATTTTTAAACCTTGTGTTTGCACTGTACATATTTCTATTTTAACTCTTTCAAACAGAGCCAAAAGAACATTTGGGTTAAGAAAAATGACAATGGCAAAATCAGAGGTTGAATATCTTCTTGAAGAGAAGTGTAGTAAAGTTAGGTTGCCTAAGTTTTTATTTCAAATTATGGTAAAATGAGAAGCTAAAAAGATGGAAGTGGATTAGGGGCGTGTTAAGTATTGGAATCTCTAAGCTAAGGTACACTTAGCATGGCATTGAGAAACCAAAAGGCACCTTCTCTTGAACCGGAAACAAAACAATCCATATTATGACCAAAATAAGGTGAAAGCCTGAAGGAGAAGAAAAAAAATAGATGCTTGAGAATAAGAAAACATAGAGTAAGGACTAGCAAAAAACAGTAGTAGGCAATAAAAATGGAAATACTAGCTAAGAAAGGACCCACAGAGATAGAGAATTCAAATTATAAATCATGAAAATGAAAATAAGGGATATTTTCAGCATGACAAAATTTCCTTTCCAGTTGAGCTAAAATACAGAAACATAAGATCAATATTTAAGACTCCACAGAAAAAGATGGGGAATTGTTTATGCTCTACAGTTCCGCACCTCAGAGGGCACAAGAATGTCTCAAATCTCAAAATCGTTTTAATGTTACTGTAATTATCTAACTACTACAATTAAAACAAACATCAAATATTCCACTTACAACTCCAATTACAGAAGGCAGCCAGCCTTTGTACAAGGCCCGTGGACCTTCTTCTCGGAGGACAGTTGACAGTGCATGGAACATTCCTCTATACTGGTAAGGAGACTTCTCCGTCTGCAAAGGTGAGATAGTGAAGAAAGAGATACTATTACAATGATATGACACTGTATTTATCCAAAGGAAGGGATGCCAAAAATAGAAATGCAAAAGAACTATGTCACAATATCATATCTCACCATACAAGCAAATTGAACAGGACAATGCAGAAAGAGAAGAGCAGACGGATCTCCAAAAGGTGAATCAATACCTGTACAGTTAGCCTTCCTCGTACCATGTCCATTGGGTAGGTTGCTGACATAGCAATGATTCCAGCACATGCTCCAGCTCCAAGACGTAAAAGAGGAGTGAGCTGGGCATCTTCTGCAAAGGATAACAAATCAAATCAGATCCACCCTTCTCTGTTTCACCAATAACTGCATTTGAATCACAAGATAATGATTCCATAATCAGAGCATATAAATTCTTTTGATGGTCCTATTTTTATAACTAAATCCAAGTTGAATAGGATGTTATTTGGTAACAAAAGCTCCAAGAAGATTTTCTAAACTCCAAGTTAATAGGATCCAAGCGAAGACCAAATAAGGATGCTTCAAGAAAGTTCAACAGTTTATTTATTAGCCAGAAGATTTTTTAACAGTAATTGTGAAGTTTTATTATTAAATAATGAAGTATATGAATAATAACAGAAAGATCATTCTACAATAATAAACATAAAATAAAATAAATAGAGTTAGTCCTTTACTGCTATTGACAAAAACTCCAAAAGATCCCAAAGGTACAAGCAGCCCCTCCTTTGATAAGGAAATCCACACCCACCAAAAAAATTACAGTCTATAAATTCCTTCTCTATCTAGTGCTGTCATGATTGTGCAACTTGTGCAGGCTGAGCCAGGTTTAATTCCAACAAAGCACAAACCCTAAGCAATTGTAACCCCACCCTGAAGCCAGTCCAGGCCTGAGGTGGCCAACCTAAGCCCATCCTGAGCAAAAATTTTACAAACTCCAGCTGACCTCAAGTCTGGGCTGGGCATGGGTAGATTTATCAGGTCCAAAGGTCTTCCTTCTAGATTTCCGTGCAGAAATCTACCGATTCTTGTCCATGTTGTTTAGAGTAAGTCAACCATGAAGTTCTCTTAAGGTGCATGCAACTATAACTTCATACGTTATACCTTTGGCAGCAGATCAGGTTTTTAAGAATAATGTGGTCTTGGAGCTAGAAAGAATCATTGATAACTCTAAGAATTTGCAGGATTTTGAGAAAATACCTAATTGAGAAAACAAAGACATCTGAAATTGATTAAAGAAACGAAGAGATCTGATAAGTAAAGAGAGAGCTGGTCAGGGCTAGGGAGAGGCTAAATAATTGGGTATTATAGCTGTCAAGTAGTCATCTGGGAGGAGTCTTTTCAAATGATGGGTATGGAGAGTTTGGTAGGTTAGTTATTTGGCAAATTGTTGTATAAAGTGGAGTTTCGTGTCTTCCTATTTGTTTCAGCATTAGAGTTTTGGAGGCTCTGTTTTTTGAGTGTCTTTTCTGTTGTTGGTATTAGGGTGTCTGTGCCCTTTGGTCTTAGAGGTGGGTGGATGCTTTTGGATCTTTGTTGCTTCTTTCATTGGGTGATTTCTTATCACCTTGTACTCTTCTTCTTATTTCTCAATAAATTCTTTTATATTTGTTACCCAAAAAAGTCATGCCTTTAATGGAACAGCCAATGATTTTTTTTATCAATAACAGAATTTCCATTAATAAAAAGGAATAAGATACAAGAGAGGAGAGCTAAACATTCTTGACCCCGCAGCCATCCAAAAGAAAAGATTACAGTTACAACTGAGCCCAGAAAACAGAATCCCTATTTACCCCTTGTCTAGCTAGCCCATCGGCGAAGGAACTTGCACTTCTCTTCACCCAAGTACATTTTACATCAATATCCTTTGTCAGCCACTTAAACTTTATCTTTTCATTTCTGTAATAACAGAGATCATGGTGCTCTTCCTTTAACCAGCCCACTACAGTCTCAAAATCTCCTATGATCAGCTTACTGATATTCAAGTCTTTAGCTCTTTTTACTCCTTCCACAGCTTCCAGAATCTCAGCCTTAAGAGAGTCACCTTCTCCACTTGGGCCTGAGAAAAGAGCTATTACATTCCCATGCTCATTACTTAACCCCCCCCCCAAATTCCTGAAGACCTTGGATTTCCAATACTACTGCCATAGAAGTTCAGCTTGATGAAGCCACTAGGAGTCCATATAGGACTTGAAGTCTTAGCTGGGGCTGAGTTCACAATCTCTTTCCAATTTTTTGCCATCCACAGAGAAGTCAGTGAATAGATCTAGAGTTTTCAGCCAGTGTGCAGCCCTTATATGGATAGTATTTGCCATCGATGTTTTTTAACCAGTTTTTCACCATGATAAGAAGTATGATAGTAAACCAACTATGCAACATTTCTTCAAGATATGTGTTTGGTAGACACATGCTGGGCTTGGGTGGGTTTTTCAGGTCTAAAGGTCTTCTTCCTAGATTTTCATGCATAAATCTACCAATTCTTGTCCCTGTTGTTTAGAGTAAGTCAAACATGAGGTACTCTATAAGGTGCTTGCAACTGCAACTTCATAAGTCAAACCTCTAATGAAACAGCTATTGATATAGATGGTTTGGCATCCATGTGTTTTTTACCAGTTTTTCACCATATTAAGAACTATGCCAATACCCCAATTATGCAACACTTCTTCAAGAAATGTGTTGGTAGACACATGTGCTGGCTAGGAGTTTACAGTGTTCTATGTTATTATTAAAAAACTTCGCTGCAATTAGAATATGACAACTCAAAAAGTATTCTGCTTCTGCACTTCTCAATACGCCACATAGAGTGGGTATTGCTTTAATTTCCCCTGTTTACACAAACATCATGATGGTGTCTCTGATGATCACCCTCTGAACAGAAACATATGCACTGCCATTGCGTTGGCGTTTTTCCACAAATTGGCACCAACGAATAGAATTCTTGTTAGTTTATACTATATGACAAGTTATAACAGAATGGTAGAAAAACGTATTGATGCTAAACACTCTTTGGCAAGTCATTTAAACACAACTCACAGCAATTAAAACAAAGTTTTCATGGTTGTGAGGTGTGAAATAACTACAGTTGATCAATCCTTTCCAACCATTGTGTATGGTGACCTGCAAAATAAGAAACAGGGAATAAAGCAAACCAGGAATCAGCACCTAGGCTCCTCTGGCAGTAGGGGTGCAACTTGGGCGGGCTCAGGTTGGGCTTCTGTCAAAATTTGAAGGGGCCCAGCCCGAAGGTCCAGGCCTAAAGCAGTGTAAAATGCTAACTCGGGCCAACCGAGTTGCACCCCTATCTAGCAGTCAGTTCCCAGAAGTACAATTAGGAATCAAAACCGTCAAGAAAATTAGAATAACTCGAACACTAGATGCAGAAAATTCACACTTTATTATCTGATGCCAAAGAGAGAGAGAGGACCTTGCATATATTTACAGGCAAAACTATCAAGTGTTAATTCTTAATAACACTTCTAGGTGCTAATTCGTTGGTTATTTTATTCTATTTTTTCGTATTTTATAGGTCCATCCTGAATCAGTTTGGTATCAGAGTTGTTGATCCTGCACCAGTGCAAACTACAGGTGTCAACAGAAATTCAATCAAGGACAGGGTCTAAAATGATTGATCATTCAGAAGATATGTCACACAAAAGGAATCAAGAAATGAGAACCCAGCCACAAGTCCTCTCTATGCTTACATTACTTCAAGATTATAACCTCAGTTGAGTTAAGAATATTGTTAGATGTTAAAAAACCCAATCCACTAACTTGGATTATCATGTGATGATATAAAATGTCAGCAGTAGCAAAGATCATCTAGATATTACACAAATACATGGGATTGTTCTTTTATTGGTGAAATATCATTAGAATATTACTAAATTTATAACCAAGATTATTTATCTTGCAAAAATATGCATAAGCAAGAACATTGTATTAAAAAGGAAAATACATATCACAAACCACATGATGTATCCAAACTCCAATAAAGCAACATAAAAGCATAAAATAGGAATCACCATACCATTGCCAGTTTGCTGCTGATAAATCCATAGAATACCCCTGTTGCAAATATCCAGAATGGTGAGAAAATGGAAGACAAAATGAAATAAATGATGGTCAGGCAAAGCATGTATGCAGAAATAAAATAAAGTATAACATTTCAAAGTGAACGGATATTTTCCCTCTCGAATAAAAATCAAAACAGAATAGAAACAAGGAGGATGAGGAGAAGCAAAACAGAATAGCATGTATACTGAAACTTGTTAAATAAAAATAAATATCAAAATGACAAAAAAAGAATTCTCATATCATTGGACACAAGGTCCAAAAACTGCAGGCAAAGCATTAATTAGAGAAACAGATCAATGAGAGTCCATATTATAAAGCATACAGGAAGCCAAGTTACTAAACATGTGAAAGACTTCATTTTGTTAAGTCATGCAGCATCAAGGAAAATTACAAAACAAGATAAAATATACAGGTTGTTTTCTAGTGGTTATGGTGGAAAATTACTCAATTAACATTTTACACTGTTTGATCATAACCCAATCTTAAAAAATGAGTTCCCAGTTTAGTTTTATTTACAGGTATGCATATCTCACTTTCACAAGAAAATTAAGTCCCTAAAAAAAGATCCCAGAAAGCATTCTCTCAGTAGTACACTATCACCAGAAAATAAAGTAAATAATTTGTAGCAATCTGTTTTATATGCGTGAAAACACAGATATTGTACATGTATGTCATGTCATGTAGGATATATAAAAATAAAATGAACACTGAAAGAAATAATAATAATTCTGTAGGAAAGAACCATACTTAGATGCTTGCTCATAGCTAAAGAACTTAACAGCTGAGTTAGGGACGATACGAGCGCAGTTAGTTCCATTGCCTTTGAACAATCCTCTGAACCCCTCTGTTTTCCATATATACTTCAGTCCTTGAATTGTTCCATTGTACTTTATATTATGTGGATTTTGAACCTGCAAATTTCAGTACCTAAACAATCTATCATGTTTTTAACATAAAATGCAAGAAGAAAATGAATTAATGGGAAAAAAACAAATCATAGAAATGCTGAATTTCTAACAAAAATTACATCCACACTTCCAACCACAGTTCACTTTTCAGTCATGCATTCAAGTTTCAGACCATCCCATGCCCATGCAAGAGATTGGAAATACTGAAGACTTTCAATAAGATTATAATTAATCACTTTTTCATCAATGATATCACAAATACATTGATGAATGCTACCATAGTTTCCATATTTATCCTAAATAAATTTTATGAGTCTAGGAATGGCAACAGGGCAAGGTGGGGCTGGGTTTTCCATGCACCGTCCCCACTGGGGCTAGAAATCCTAACCCCATCCCCATGGGGAACGGGGATCCCCGAATTTTCTCTGCCCCATCCTGGTCATTCCTACTTGCATACTTGCAAATTTATTTTTTTATTTTTTCAAACCTACCAAAAATTATTTTATATTATGTAACATAATATAGTATAATATAATATATAATATTATAATATATATGTATTAACAATTTTATATATATTATGTTATATAATATAGTCGGGGCAGGTGGACAAATACCATCCCCGCCCTGTCCCCAATCCCCAGAGTTTCAGGTTTCCCCAAAACCTGCCCCAAACCCCCAATCAATGGTCAGAAAACCCACCCCGACCGGGGGGCAGGGTAGAGCCCCATGGGAATGGGTCAAATTGCCATCTCTACGAGTTTACATATGCAATTATGCATATTAAATTCTTTTGGTACTTTGTCACTTAATAAGCAAAAAACGTCAGAACTTCGAAAACATCTAGTATGTTGAGTAGTAAGGTTGCAGGTTTGCAGCTAGAGCTCTGTTTCAGAAGAGTGCAAATGCAAATAATGTACAGGACAAAACCTTGTATATAATATTTCTAAACCTTGTATGCACTCTTCACAAAATGAGCCTAGAATTCAATTTTGATAGTGCAAGAGCATGGCATCACATTAGCATATGGACTCGGCTGACCCAGGGCCGAACTGGATCAAACCAGTCCACTTTGTCATTAATCAATTAAAAAAGCTTAAGTGCTGAGCATTCCACTGCACGACAGTAAATCAACATGTGTTTATTTACAATGTTCTAGAAAGATCCTGCAAACTAAAATATTCTAGAAAGTTTATTTAATCACATGCTTTAAATGAATAAAAATAACATTCTAGAATAAAAGGGCAAAATGGAAAAAAAATAATAACCCAAGAAGCTTCTGGAATGTGGACCCAAAATCTATAAATAGATGTTTACTGCCCATTTCAAGGGGGTCATTCAACCCATTACACACTTCGAACCCATTACCCATCTTTGGGCCTTCAATCCATTTCAGACCCATGACATAGGAAAGAACCTGTTCCTTCTCTCTCCATCCCTTCCATCGCTCCCTACCCTCTCTCCCTTCTCTCTCTACTCTGGTCTGCCGCCACTGTTCCCCGGAATTTCGGTGTAAACTGTCATGCTGAGTCCACTGATCTTACAGATAGAAGTGGAAACATCAGCAAACACCACATTTATGGACTTCTGGGGAATAACCATGTTCACCACATTTATGGGCAGTTGAACCATCGACCCGGACAATAGTTTTTGGCCGTTTTTATTTTTTATGTCAGAATGGGCCATCCATTCGAACTGGACAGTCAGACCGTTCAACCCGAGAACCGGTCCCCAGAACGGTTCCCTATCCGGTCCCATTTTAAAAACATTGAAGAAGACATGTATATACATGATAAAATAGTTGAAAAAATGCTTGTATTTTTTGTTTTTTCTTTATATAGACTGTTAGTCTTTTTACTTTTAGTAATTTGTTAAATTTTAACGATATTAAATCGGGTCAGATCAGATTCGGATATTTGAAATCCTAAATGGGTTCGAATTCGAATTGACCTCTTTGAGATCCGATTGGATCTTCCGATTGGACCAGATATGAGATTTATATTATCGGATTGGATTTGGATATATACTGATTCAAATCCGATCCAATCCATTTACATCCCTACACTCATGGATGGTTGACTCACTTAATTGCCTACCTTTGTTTATGAATAACAGTACTGAATTTTATTAATCAATAGAAAAAGGAAGTACAATAGAAAAAAGAACCCAAAAAATGGCTAACCACAGCTAACCATCATACATGAATACATTAGCCCCTAGCCATTTTGGCCCCAAAATATCTGGTCCCTTCATCCCTTGTTACCCCTCCCTTTGCTAGTCCTTCTGCCAAACTGTTGCTTGCAATTCATCTATGATGCTTTGTAGATCCAAGAAAACATGGAATTGAGTTTGCTGCTCCTAAAGGTCCAGAAAAGAACTCTACGATGTTACCGTTTTCATCCCTGAAAACTCAACCACACCTGAAGGTCCAGTATTACCCAAGCTGCATCCATCAAAATCCATGTTTATATACTAGTTTCTTTTTATTTTTTTTTTCTTGTTTGTTAGGGTTTAATCAATACACATGTTGGTGTATACACACATGTTGGTGTATGCTGTCTTGAACCCTCAGACTTCAAAACCTGACAGCAAGGAAGAGCTTAAAATTCTTCCCAAATAAAAATAGGGCCTCAGCCCACACATTTTCTGAATATTCTTTTCTTTCTTATTTTCTTCTCATAAACATGTTGATTTTCTATGTTTTAACATGAAGCCTACACTTTTTTATGAAGTTTATAGATGATCGTCAATGAAAGATGGTTGCTGGTTGCCACGGGACCTAAGGAATTACCCTAGGATTTGTGGTTTATATGTAAAAAAGTCCATCTCTAGGTGCCCACCTAGGCAGCTACAAGGCACCCCCCCTATTGCCTAGCTTCACCTTGGCACCTTAAAAACTATCAATGGCCCCTTATCCAGAAAAGAATAACAATAAGAAAACTATCTGGAAAAGGCTGATCGTATCATTGACCGCAACATGTCTTACCCTGGCAGAGCATCTCCCACTTCTCCTGCAGGTTTTTATAAATTATAACACCTTCTACAGGTTAACTTTGTATTATCCAAGTGATGGAGAATAGGGTCAAATTTCTATCTCTTCCTAACCTATACTACATAACTACGAAGAAAGATGTCTCCAGGCTGCTATGGAGAATAAGGTCAATATTCTTTCTCTTGGAGAATAAGGTCAAATTCCTTTCTCTTCCTAACCATACTCCATAACTATGAAGAAAGATGTCTACAGGCATGCCAGGCTTAGAAGAAATTTAGATTACTGAGAGATTGACAGTTTTGCAGTTCTAATGCCTAAATTCCCACCAAGTCTGCTAAAGACATGATTGAGGAGAATGAGTATGACACATAAGATGGGGATTTTAAACACCAACTAAAATATCCCAAAGCGAAATTGAGGAGATGAAAGGATGTGCATATGGGATCCCTGAAAATCAAGAATGATCTGTTTTTTTTATAAAACAGCAATAGACAATAGTACAAAGTCCTCAAGCAAAGGTACGAGTTGCAACCTCTCCAGGCTAGTTAAGTACAGATTTCCAAATTAATAACAACTTACATAGAAGCACAAAAAAAATCTTCCCTAGAAATCCCCTGTTTGGCTAAAGCATCAGCCAAAGAATTAGCAGACCTACTAACCCATTTTACCTCAACTCTCATATTACTGGTTAACCACTTTACTTTTTCGATGAGATCTTTGTAGCCCCAAATGGTGGTATCCAAGTTTAGGAGCCACCTGGTTACCACCTGAGAGTCCCCTTCAACTAGGAGATACTCCACCCCAAGCTGGATGGCGATCTGAATTCCTTGTACTGCAGCAAGGATTTCTGCCCTTGTGGAATCCCCCACTCCCACCGGTCCTGAGAATAGGGAAATTATGTTGCTGTCCTTATTTCTCAGGATACCCCCTATACCTGAAGGCCCGGGGTTGCCTTGGCTACTTCCATCAAAGTTCAGCTTGATGACACCTTCCAAAGGCGGAATCCATTCTGACAGAATTCTATCMTTCTTTGTTGAAGTGTTAGCTATTACTAGCCAATTTCTCCACAAATCATCAAAGGAGAAGTCATCAAAGATATCCACAGTTTTCAGCCAATGGATTGCTCTTGTTAGGATACAATCCTTCTTTTCATCTAACCCTCTTTCCTTCTCTAAGAAAATTCTTGCATTCCTTTCCTCCCAAAGAGTCCACAGAGTGGCTGCCCTGACACATTTCCACATGACCTTACCTCTTCTAGTGTGCCAAACAAAGACAGATGGGTTGAATAACAAGCTTAAATCAGAAGGCAAAGACCACCTACCTCCAAATAAACAAAGGCTCCACCTCCATATAGCTGTAGCAAAGGAACAGGAGATCAGCAAATGGACACAGTCCTCATTCTCGGCCTTACACAAGGAAGAATGATCTGTTCATCTTTTAGGAAGATAAGGGCTCCAATTAGCAGGGACTTTCCACAAGCTTATACGTGGAAACCCCCCATGGACTTTTCCCCACATTGGCTTAATGGTCTTGAGAACTTCATTTGGCTTTTCCCCACATCTACCCGGTTGCAGAAGGTCAAAAAACATTTCTGGTTTTTATGATTTGGTGGTGGCTACCCCTAGCACTAGAGGTTTGCAGAGCTCTAGATAAAGAGTTCTACGAAGCAGCAGTGGGAGAGGTAGAAGAGGCAGGGGTAGACCCTAGATCTTCACTATGTAGTTAATTGGGTGGTCCGTTTTTGGGTTTTGTTGCTTTTTTTCTATGTTCTTTCTAACTTGGTTTGGTTTGTGGCTTTTGCTCTTGTGGTAGTTGAATTTGGACATTGGTCCAATATGCTTCTTTGCTGGTCTTTGACCTAGGAGCTAGGCTTAGCTGTGTAATCTTCTTAGGCAGGCTCTTTTGTGGGTCTCCTCTGTATCTGTATACGCCTTGTATACTTTCTTTAGTATTTTAACCTTACTTGCCTCAAAAAAAAAATAATAAACAAATTGCTTAAGTCAAAAATAAATAACTTAAGCATGTATCCATGAATCAAACTCTAGTATCATCAATACAGTGAGGCAACAACTAGGTGGTGCTTAGATGTGTTGAGTCTGCTGACTAGTTGATCGCAAAAGAAAAATATGTCAAAATTTAATATAAGAATGCGATATAATATAATTATTTATAAAAAAAAATGCAATATCATATAAGTAAACAAAGAGTGGCAATGTGGCATTATGCAATTAAATATATCACATAAAACATTTAGCAAATAACCTTTGTTTTGGAAGCATATGGAGGAATGTTGGCAAGACTGAGGTAGGTAAGGATAGCATTTGTTTTCAATCGGTGTGTGAGAGGTGTTCTATTATACATGTGTATTGTAAGGACTCATAAATGTCAAACTGAATTTTACATCAATTCCTGGACACTTCTCACACATAGATGGCTTAGTGCAGCAAGTGCAGGAAAATTTGCTCAACCATGACACTGATTGGAAAAAGACCTAAAAGATATCCTCCATTATTTTTTCTTTGGTTCTAGGCCTTGTTTCTGTTTTATATACGCACACCCAACCACATGCATCAGATGCTTAAAGTAATTGTTTTATATCAGAATATAAAGGCATGTCATTAGTCTTTATCTTAGAAGTTAGAGATGAGTACAAGCAAATAAGACTTTAAAATAACTTTGTGGTCAAACAAATGGGCTAGTTGTTAGTCAACCTAGTTGATGATTACTCATCATAGGTGACTATGTCATGGGTGTTGACCAACTAATTAATGATGCAGTTGGTATGGCCCTCAACTAATTAGTTGTTGACTCATGGATGCATTGATAACACTGATTCTAAGGTTATATTTAGCACATTGAAATGGGTTGGTACGAAGTTAAACACCTCATGGGGCTGGTATCTTATCAAAGAACTTAATTTCAACTCCATTATTCTATCCATTTAAAATCACATTTAGGGGGAGAATTATCTTCCTACATATACAAGCATGTGTATACATAAGGACAAGATGGACAGAATTGAAGTTCTTTCTTATATTTTTTGATTGGTAATGAAGAGATTATTCAATGAAATAGGGGTGAAACAAAAATAATTCCAACCACTTTCTTAATGTGCATTCAAACACAAAATGTTAGAACCCTAGGAACTGGAATTTAAATTCCCCCAGAAAAGGACACAAAAAAGAGGCAACATGGTCTAATTCCATGCTCCAAAACAGTCAACAATCGAGTATTTAATTTCTAAAAGATTATAAACATTAATATGATGGTTAAAAATTAAAATTGTAAAGAGCAGCATGGTCTAAAAAAAGCATAAAAACCACCCTATTTGGAACTTCCAGCAATGTAAATCATTAGGTGAACTTGGGATAAGAAGTTATCAATCTCAAAAAATAAACAAATAAATAAATTACCTGGAGCAATATTTTTAACCGTTCCAATGGAGCAACAGCTGTGCGTGACCTGTAAAAGATATACACATACTAAATTTAGGACAAGACAACCAGAATAAAGTACAGGCAAAAAGCTAGACCAAGGGTAAAAAACAAATTAGACTAAATTTTTTATTTTCATATACTGATGAGTTAGAACTTAGAACAAATGAATGACATTCATATAAGACAGCTTGCCTAACCATCCAATCTCCAATTGATAACAAATACAAATCTAGAAAGTTAGATATCAAGTTATTCCTTTTTAAGCCAAAAAACATATGCTTCTGCAATGCCTAAAAACATTTCAGCTCAATGTTTTAAAACACGGAGGCATGATGCAAGGTGTCCCACTACCTATAGGTGTGAGGCGTAGTTCAAAATGTAAGAGGCGTAAAACTTTTGAGCACAAGGAGGCTTATGCCTCCTTAAGAGGAGGGGGATGAGAAGAAAGGAGGAGGGGGAGGAAGAGGAAGAAAAGAAGCGGGATCTCATCTTGTTTTATTTCAGAAAAATGGAAAAAATATTAAACATAATATTAATAAAAATATAAACTTAAATTTTTTGACCAATTCCTTGTATGACGGCACCCAATATAAACTTAAATTTTAAAATAAATGTTTTAAAAGAAACTATTATCTAAACTTAAAATGCATAAACATAACATGTAAAGCTTATTCAAATGAAAATTTAAAAATAAAATCAAACATATAAAACATTTTCAAGCATGTAAGATCCACAATCTTTTTTTTTCCTCAATCGCATTACTTCAAGTAGTTAATGTGATGTATTATATATTATATTCCTCCCGATTCTATGAGCTGCCTTTGTGTAGGGTGCTCATAAAAAACCAAAAAACCAAACAGAACCGAGAAAATCGAACCGAAAATGTGGTTAACCAAACCGATTGGTTTGGTTTCGATTCGATAATTTTGAAAAACTGATGAACAGGTTCGGTTTTTGGTTAACCTAGAAAAAAACGGTGGTTGACCGAACCGATTTCTAACAATCATAAAAAGCTCCCCTATAGCTTCATTGTAACAAATAGCACACCTGAACTTTTGAGAAACTCAACAAAAACCTCCCTTCCGTCACTGACCTAGACAGAAAACGTTAACTAAAGCATAATTTTTTAATACCAATTTTACCCTTTTGTTACTGACCCAAATGGAAAACGTTACTGACCACCCATGCGGCAACAGCATTGGTGCCACCGCTTCTGCCGAGATCAAGGCAGGTCCTTGCGTTATTCTTTCTCATTAGTCAGGTCAAACTCAGACCTAGATATGTTTCTTCCTCGCCAGACCAGCCGGAAAGCCCAACCACTACCTCGTTGGCTTGTCCAAGCCCAAAAGGAAAAAGCTCACCTACCATCTCTCCGCCATTATAAACACCGTCAATGACTGCAAGCTTCCTATTGAACTCCGTTGCCAAGAAAACAAATCTACATCCGTGTTTCCTCTGCCACGTCCACACTACCCTGTTTCTCTTTGCATTTGTTTTATTCTCCTAGGTTGAGTAAACACGGGAACTGATGTCTCACCCAACAGCAAACCAGTTGAATCTGTACTCACCTAGATTTGATTACATGAACGCTAAGGAGAGAAATATGTGGAACACGGACTCCACAAGTTCCTCTGTATGCATCTATCTGAGGTTATGCCTACCATAAATAGTTTCTTCTCTTCTACAGACTAAATAGACTAAAGCAGTAAAGCACAAGAACAATTTGAGAGTTCATATGAATCAATTTGTGTTTTTATTGACTTAAAAGTAATGGCCCTGTAT